GGACACAGTGGTATTAGCGGCAATGACAAAGCTGACCTTATTGCAAGAGAGGCTGTAACTTGTGGTGATATGTATCCGTATCATAATTACTGTAGTGACCTAGCTTGTCTCCCAAAAATATATTTAAGGTATGCCTGGAAGGAATATTGGGAAAAAACAAGTACAATAAAAGGAAGATTTTATCGCCTTATACAACCCGATATTCCTTTCAAACCATGGTTTTGTAAATTAAAGCTTGGAAAGACCGCAACAACTATTATAACTCGTATGCGTCTAGGTCACGTATGCACACCTTCTCATTTATACAAGCTTGGTATTGTACAAAGTTCGTCGTGTAATTGCGGTGCTGAAGTGGCGGACTTGAATCATATATTCTTCTCATGTTCTAAATTTGACCACACCTCCCTTTTTAATCATCTCCGATCCATCCGTGTTCCATTCCCAACTTCTATTCTTACTCTACTTTCTTCCAATGATCCTATTATCTATAAAATACTATCTTCATATATATATGATAACAATATTAAGATTTAGTTATATTACATGAATACATTTATAGTTGCATCAATTGCTTTTCCTATATATTTATAAGTATATTCTCATATGTACAAGTATATCCTTCATATCCTATAAATATCCTAGACCTAATCCTTATCCTTTCTAAATTCGTTTGTGTTAGGTATTTTTATTACTATTATCGTTTCCCCGTTTTGTTCTTGGCAAAATACCCTAATATCGGGGTGAACGCCACATAAGAAGAAAAAAAAAAAAAAAAAAAAAATTCCAGATATATTCATGACAATGGACTAACTGACCTGCCTTTTCATTTTCGTCGGTCATCCCTCACTTGTGCTCCGTCAGCGTATACCATCAGCGCAGTCGGAGTTATCATTCCATTATCATCTATTAAAAAATCTACGCGTACGACACCGAACAAAGACGTGACAACAAGATATAGTATCAAATACAGACAATACAAAAAGTTTAAGTATATTTTTGCGGCGATTTCTATCAAATCACCTATTATGATACAAATTCTGCTAGTACATCACTATTTACGAATAGAATTTGTGTCGAGAACGTTACGCTCGAAGGACCTAAGGTTATAGAATGAAGGAATCACGTCACGGGAAAGGCCATTGTCTACTCTATTGTCTCTCGAGATATTAGAATCGAGGTCGGATAATGGAATTTATGAAAAGCCAATAATATTGTAATAAAACAAAAAGCGAAAAACACTATATTATATTTTTAAAAATTTCCATATGTATATATATATACACAAAAATGGATTCAAAGTTGTCTGAAGTAAATAAATAAATATATGTTGTTGTTGTGTTATGAAATTGAAGCCGAAATCTGATTTGTTGTCAAAAATCTCTTAGTATTTATATTATAAAAGCACCTCAATAGCTAAATCGCTTCGACGTAATTCGATTATTAAAATCCTATATAAGACTTAAAAATATATGGTGACGAAATAAATTTTTAGTAGACCATTAATAAACCAACAACAACCTAATATTTTTATAAGGGGGAAAGAGATTTTTTTTAATGAGTGATCATGGAATAGTAACCCCGTCTCTTCACCTATCATCACTCACTGGTGCTCTGCTACCGTATACCGATAACGCAGGCGAGGTTAAAATTCAATTATCATCAATTAAAAAGAAACATTTGTATAAATAATGCGCTTTTAAAATAGTTTTATTCTTATAGTTAATGATTTTCCCACAAACTATTATTTCGTTATATATTATTGTTATTTATTCGCATTTATGATATTTATTTATTTATTCATTAGTACTTACATGTATGAGTACAAGGCAGATTTTGTGCTAAAAGCATTCTCTCTCAGTCAATCTTAGGGAAGTGTCAGAATACTTGAATAATTGTTACTACTAATAATTGATATACAAATATACTAAAATTTACATATATAAAGAAATAATTATGGTAATAATATATATTTTTTATACCACTGAGGTGGCAAACAAGCATACGGCTCACCTGATGGTAAGTGGTTACCGTAGCCTATGAACACCTGCAATACCAGAGGTATTACGCGTGCGTTGCCGGCCCCGAAGAAACCTCTTTACCCCCCTTTTGAAGAACCCCATACTGTAGTCTTTTGGGAAAACCTCAGCAGGGAGCTCATTCCACAACCTGAGTGTTCTTGGGAGGAAACATCTCTGAAATAATTTATCTGTAATACCAATATTTGCTCAAATATTGGTATTACAGATAGTATATTATGAGATTATTACGCCTGCATATTTTACTATAAATGGCATGCGAATTTATTTTTAATATAAATACTAGTAAAATTCTATTATTATAATATCATATATCACAATGTCTTGATTGTAATAGACTATAAAAAAAAACAATTATTACATTAATATTTCTCTTGTCTCTTGTCTCATGGAAATACAACGCAGTCATTTATATAATAATATATAAATAACATATAAATATACTAACACATGTATAAGATATACCATATTATACACGAAAATGTGAATAATAAATATTTACTGCTTGGATAAAGTATAAAAGTAAACATAAACTTTTCTTAATGATTTGATATTATCAATGTTATATATACTTTCAAAGTTTCATTGACAAGAGATAAAATATTTAAACACGGTTAGCTGGCCGATTTCGTCACTCCACGCCCCATCTAGACGTATATGATCTTTTTTTTTGGTAACTGCGCAATATGATTTATACATATTTCATAACAATTTATTATAATCCTTATCTACATTTTTATATAAACTTATTTATAAATATATAAAAATACAATCAATATGAAAAAGGATTGGTAAAAAGCAAAAATGCAGAAATTATTCAAAAGGGTCCTTTGAGAATATTAAGTGGCCGCAAATTTTCTCGCTTCACATAATCTACGAGCCTTCTGGGTTTCGACAGCTGTTAAACTTTGGCCTTCAAATGGTCCCTTTTCAGTATAATTACTGCACAGATTATCGACCATCCAATATACAGTATGTAACATAATTTTATAAGCAATTTGTTGATGAAATATATTAGGTACAGACACAAGGGGATGAGGAAATTTAATTTTATTAAATTAATGTTAGATGTGGGAGTAATCCAATAATATCTACATATTGGATAAACCTGTATATAACTTATGTTTTTTAAAAGATGATATGTGACGCTAAGAATAAGGCGTTCAAAACATAACTGAAAAAAATATGTTTCAAACACAGTGATAATTTTTTTTCAATACTGAGCCAATCTATTCTTAGATTTGATCACATTTGGAAACGGTTGGATTACACAGTCAGTCCATGAAAAATAAAATAAAATTTTCGCCAAATATTCTATCGGATATAAATATGTGAGCTAGCAGGTACCAGGCGTATATAAATAGGTAGGTAATATATTTTCTATAAGCGATAAAACTACCTTTGTTTGAAGAGTATAAAGTACATTTCCACCTGAATACCACGCTTTCGTATCTCTAATGTCGACAATATATCTTAATTAGGATAATCAAACTAACTAAATCCACTTAAGATCATTGCTAATTTTATTAACGTATGTTGCTATTATACCAATAGCATATATTATCTGTGCCAATAGTATAATATGTAATTTTGAATGACAATCTGTATCATCTAAAATGGATTATCATTTTCATAACAGTATATTAGCCTTTAACTGTCCACTGTTTAACTGCCTCCCCTTGGGACGTTTTCCCAGTAACTACCACGCTTTTTTTTTTTTTTGGTGGATGAAAATGGTATGGTAACCCCGCCTGCGCTAACGGGATACGCTGGCGGAGCACCAGTGAAGGGTGATAGATGAGAATGAAAACAGGCCAGTTAGCCCATCATGATGAACTCATCAGGAATTAACCATGATAGTTTCCAGGGGGAACCGCGAGGAGGTCGACCTGGTTGGGTATATTGCTAGCAATGGGATTTTTACTCTCCATTACTAACAATCCCTTTCCCCCCAACTACCACGCTTGGCACTTGGCTTTGCGACCGCGGTTAAGCTTTGAAGATGTTTTAAGACCTCTTGCCCATCCCTCGCCCTCAGTTAGTCGCTTCTTACAATTCCCACGGGAAAGGAAAGGATGGCCTATTCTATGCCGGGATCATACGGCAAAATGATAATAAATGATATTTATCCAAGTGACACCAATGACCTTTTCAAAACCACGTTTCATCGTATAATAATATAACTGGGTCACGCGAATTGAATCCCGAGACACGTACAGTTTGGTAGTTATTGCATAAATATGGTCATACATCAAAATTTTAAAAAGTGGTACAGAATTTTTTTTTATACAACTTAGAATGGCAAATAAGCTAACAGCCCACCTGATGAAAAGTGGTAACCGTCGCCTATAGATATGAGCAGTACCATGGACATAACAGAGTATACTGTTTCGCCCATGATACCCCCCATGCGTTGCCATTCCTGAGGACTCAGGTGTTATTCCTCTGTGCCCTGTAAATTCACGCCATATCCCACCCTTCAAACCGAAACACAGCTATGCAAACACAACTGCTTCACGGTTGAAACACGAATGGAACAGAGGTACCTAAGCAATCGACTTTTGTACAAAGTCTCCCTCTCGATACATTAAGGTTGCCTGGAAGAGATCACTATTTAGCGATAAGGCCTCCCATTATTGCCTCTTTATCTTGCTTCTATGTTTTTTTTTTCTTATATAACTTCTGAAATTCTCCCTCTGTATTAAGTTTATGTAATCAAATTATTCATTTTGGTTGTGTACATAGATACCTATTGTTAATTGTATCATTCTTTGAAGGGAACAATAAAGAGTTTTCATTCATTCATTCACTCACTTCCGCTCGTCTAAGGAAAAAAATATTTCAAATTGGCCTAGACCTTGAATATCTCCCAAGATATTCTAGTTTAAAAACCAGACAATCTAGAAAGTCTATATAACACCATGTAACTCGTGACAACAATCTTAATTCGTTAAAGATAATTACTGTAATAGTACGTGTCGTCCTTTATCAGGTCGGTGGGTGTGCACAATGTGTTCAGGCCGTAGTCGGAGATCTTCAAAACGAAGCGTCCATCGATGAGACAGTTGGTAGAGCGGAGCTTGCCGTGCGCACCCAGCCCTCCGTGTAAGTAACACATGCCCTGTACATCGAATATTGTGTGTCATAGTGAAATATGAAGCTCTGAAATTCGTCTTCGAAACTAACCAGACATGTCACTAGATAATATGGAATATCTTAAGAGGTCTGCCGAGTGAATATTGCATTGTACAGTCCCTTCAAAACCAAAACTGTCGTTGTGTTTTGTATTATATTAATATTTTTACGTCTCAGAATAGAAATAAACTAAATATTTATTATTATTTCAGCCGTTAACTGTCCACTGCTCGACATAAGCCCTCCCCATAAAGGGAGTTTTGCCAGTAGCGACTAGGCGGGTAGACTTTTAGAGATGTTTTAAGAGAGACGCTGCTGCCCATCCCTCGCTCTCCCTTAGTCGCTTCTTACGACACCCACGGGAAAGGTACACGGCCAAAACTAAATATGGTCTACTAAAAATAGTAATAAATAGAAATAGTAACCATCGAACATTGATGTAAAAAACTATGATTCATATTCTCATAACAAATTTAAAAAAAAAAACATAAATCAAAATTTAATACGTAAAAATACAGATTAATCTGTAGTTATTATCCTTATTTTATTTGAATAATGGATGGAGCTATGGGGTAATAAACAAAGAAAAAAATATAATCGAATTAAGAATCTCCTTTTTCAATGTCAGTTGAAAATATGCTTGTTACCTTTTGTCGGTTTAACGGCTTAACCATTTGTTTCGAAATTTGCCAAATATGTAGTATTTAGGATAGAAAAGGACAAACGCTACTCTTTGCCTCTATTAGCCAAGATCATGCGTACATAGGTACAAATAGAGTTTTGAACATATAAGAAATAGTATACATATAATTATACAATATATGTATGTATATATATGTTATAAAATATAGAAAATTTGCTTATACAGAAGCATAAAAGCTTCACCTTGGATTTAATAAAATATATGCATTCTCAAGATCTTAGATCTTGGCTGGAGGAGAATAAATAATCAAATTTGCCGAGGTAAATGAGGCATGATAAGCAATATTTTCACGGTTGTATAAACGAACTGAGAAAGTAGCTAACGACTTCGAATATTTTATCTCTCACCAGGTATAAAAAAATACACAAAAGACAAAGGGATCGGTGAACTTTTTATAAATTGCTAAGTGATGAAATCATAGAAACGCTTCAAAGTGAATAAATCTTAAGTCAATGTCATAAAAATGATTTGATTGCAACCATTAGAACTAAATACAATTGCAGTTTTTAGTAATCGTTACTTGTGTGAGTTGTGTGTTTGTATATGTGTGTGGATCTTAACTACCACTTTACAGGGGATGCCTCTCTTCTAAAAACGAGGACACAGCCTACCTATCCACACTGTTCAATTAACTTGACAAAAAATATTATTTCGAACTTTACTTCTTTGCATTTCATATGCTACTACCTTAGTCATTTCTTAAAACATCGATAACATTACTAACTATAAAAAAAAAATATCAAAAAGGAGTAGTGAAACAACATAGAATAATTGACAAGCAATTTTCGTATACCTTTTTCGTGGCTTAACTGTTCATTTCTGAAAGACACTTTGTACATTAAAGTTTATTACTCAGCTCCCCTATAGACAGGTGTGGTTTAAAATTTTAAGAGACCAAAGGATATGGACAGTACCTATTACTACAAACAAAATAAGTTTAAGATCATAGAATAAACACAAAGTCGCAGGACCGTAGGTAGACCCAAGTTTAAGGTAGGGCAAAAGATTTTTTTGGTAGGGCAGAAGCCATAATTAAGTGACTTCGAAAAAGGGAATCTGTCTTATTTTCTTGGGGCCTATCATTTTAAGGTAGGGCATTTGGCCTTTTAAGATAAGACATTGCCCCACAATGCCCTCGCTCCCTAGCTACGGTCACGCAAAGTCGACACTACATGACACTAGTAAACTTTGTCACTCACCTGAACAATGTCGTGGACTAATGAAGTCCTGAAATTCCAGTCTAGTTGCAGCTCGTCATTTGCCAACACGTCCTTCAAAGAACCCTTAGGGCAATACTCGGTTAGCACGAATACCAGCGGGCAATCGACGCATGCGCCGATAAAACGGGCTGTGTTCTCGTGGGAGACATTCCGGGCCTATGGAAATTATTCTATAATAATCAATATAGTAATTAACATAACATGACCAGAAGATCCGGCAAAGAATAGGCCACCCCTCATAACTGGTTTATATATCGAATTTAATTTAAATATGTTTAGTAAGTTTTGCGTGAAAGAGTAACAAACATCCTTTCTACCCATCCTTACAACCATTCATATTTATAATATTAACAGGAATCTCTTCTAGTCATTGTATTACATTGACTAGAAGAGATCAGAGGGCCTACCATTAAATTGAAATTCCGAATTTTCGGGCTCAATTTCGTGTTTTTGTTCATAACGAAATTAATCTAGTTAATGAAGCTTAACATTTCGTTCGTCATAAATTTTAATATAAAAGTCGAGAAGAAACGATATTTTAGTATTATCAATATTTTTAAACGGTACATATCATGTGATTTTAATATTAGTGTTTCGTTCGATCCCGAAATTTCGGAAAATTCCTTTTTTTTTCATGGTAGACCCGCTGTTTTCAACCGACTTCAAAAGAAGGAGGTTTTCAATTAGGTTGTATTTTTTTTTTGTTTGTTACCTCATGACTCCGTCAGTTGTAAACTTATTTGAGAATTTTTTTTTTATTTGAAAGAATATACTTACAGATTGATCCTATAGAAATTTTATAATTTTGAATCAGTAGTTTAATTTTTAAATCAAAATAACTAGTTTTGGCAAAACGAAGTCGGTTTTTTTTGGGAACTCATGTTAATATAATTAACAAGATTTGCTACTTATACAGTTTTATACAATATCATGAGCAACTGTAATTATATCATAAATAATAAAAGTATACCTGTCTAATTTCCCAAAACAGCTTCTTATTGAGATCTAGTTTCTTCCTGTGTATCTTCTTGACGGCGACGCGGTTACCCTTGTAAAGGCCGACGGTAAAGGAAGACAGTGTGAATGAAGGTGTCCCCAGCGATGGCGTGCCGTTACTGTTTCGAGCATTCCAGCTGAGAGACAGCTAGAGGATGTAACAAGAAACGCAACATTGTTTATAATAAAACTAAAATTGAATCTCTCTTCTTGTTATTTTCACGTATAGACCACTGAACTGATTTAAAAAAAAATCTGGCAAGTGATAATATTTCTAAAATACGAAATCGTTTTTGATTATCCATATATTTAAAAATTTTGAGTTTTCGACTATACTTAGATAGATAGATAGATAGATAGATAGACAATTTATTTACATTACTTACAGCACACAAATTACAATAAAAAAAAACATACACGTAATACACAGCAAAAGAGACAAAAGAATAAAAATAAAAAAAGCACAAATAAAAAAAAAATACAAAAACAAAATACATAATCTAACAATCTCCTTTGTTAACATTCCTTCATGCGTGTGCCATAGTAACACAAAATGGTCACAGCTCAGTTTATTGCTTTGCCCTTAAAAGAGCAAAACACTGATATTCTGCTGTGGCCAAGAGTCAGTCGCGAAACTTTTCATTAAAAATTTACAATATAAAATAAAATATATATATATATATATATATATATATATATATATATATATATATATATATATATATATATAAAATAAACTGCATTGTATGTGTCCATTATATTTGCCTCCACTTCGATCTCAAAACCCCCTGATCGCATTTAAAGTTTATCTGTATTTTATATATCTAATATATAAATCTCTATTTAAGCTACGATTGACAGGGTAACACCATAAGGTATTATTTGTGCATTAAAGATTAAATAAATATGTTATAGGTTTTTTTATTTAATGACGCTACCAATATTCACTAGCGAGTTTCAGTGAGAGATAATAGATGATGATGAAGCAGGTCAGTCGACCTATCATAACAAATTCAACATTAAAACTAACGATATGGTTTCCAGGGAGAACCATGTGGAGGTCTACCTAATAGGGTATATTGTTTGCAATGGGATTGCTAATCTCCATTACTAACAATCCCTTCTTCCCCCCATAATATATTATAGTTACAACATACAATCCTGTTACGCGTTATCAATGTTATACGACTCTCGGACTTTACTGTCACTAATTAAAAGGTAAAGTGAGGCTTTTACGTTACATTTAATTTACACAAAGCTTAAAACATTTCCAGTAATTGGACCCGCTTACAATGACGTTTATTGCAGCGCTGGGGAATAATTTGATAATGCAATTTAAATAGATGGAATAATGTGTTAATTTAACATTGCAAAAAGCAGCATTCTCTTGTATTGTATTGTAAAATTTTTATTGAACATTGTTTGCATTGTACACATTAAAAAATCTTCAGTTCTACCAATTCAATCTAGTACTGAGTAATAATTTCATTATTTTTATATTTAAAACGCATTGATAGATATTTTATGATAAAATCGAAGTTATTAGCGATACGTTAAGCTTACGATAAGTTAAGATTACGATACGAAGAATTTACGGAAATTAACATCTTAGGATAGATATAAAGTGTAATTTTTAAAATTCAAACAACAAAAAAAAATTAAGCATCCCGTTTTAACTTGACAATTGAATATACCGAGTTCTTTTTTTATACCATTTAGAATGGCAAACAAGCTGACGGTCCAACTGATGGAAATTGGTAACCATCGCCTAAAAATATGAACAGTACCATGGATATAACAAAGTACGAGTATACATATTGCCTATGATACCCTTCATGCGGTACCATTTCTGAGAATAACGATATTATGCCTCTGTACCCTATAATTTCATTACAATATCGCACTCTTTAAACCGAAACACAGCCGTGCAAACACAACTGCTTCACGGCGAAAACACGAATTGAAATAGGGCAGAGGTGCCAAATCAGACGACTTTTGTTAATATGAAGGCTCGACATTTTTTGTCGTTCTTCGCCCCACGATTCTTTGGTGAAAATTTCACTTGTTCACTAGGAAAAGTCCATTATAAAGAAGCTGACGATTTCACCCCGCATATATTTGAATTTATGTATTTCCCGTTCGACCCCCAAGATGGGATGACGACCTCAAATGCATTGCAGGAAGTCAGTGAATACAGGTGGCTCAGAACCATTACCTATAGCAGTCTATAGAGGATGTACCTAGTCAATGGACAGATAACTGGTCTAATGTGATGATGGATGATATGATGATATTTGAATTTAAACTTCGAAATCGAGTATCAATTTGAATGATACAATGGATATAGAGAGCAAAATTTCACTCCATAAAAGAAAAATATAAAACATATCAAAATTAATATATGAAACCAAAATAATAAAATAGGTATCTACTCTAGTGAGCCTAAGTACCTAAATCCTATATATTTCAAAAAGAATTAACTTTCTAAACTGACGTAGATACAGCGTAATATATACAAAAAATATAGACGAATATTCTTGGAAGTAACTTAAAAATGAATAAAATACCAACGAGTCTCGCACGCGAGGAAAGGCTAGTCAGAGGCAATATTCGACTGTTACCGTTATAGTGAAAGCATAATACCTACTTGATATTCTTACATTTTTCTAGGAATATTAGAATCCAATGTGGCAAGGGACAAGCCTGCCGATCTCTCGAATTAAGTTAAATATAGTAACTATTTCGAAAACGGATCGCGTTTATGAAACTGAATAAATTTATTTATTTACCATTATTATTATTATTTTTAAAACTTTGTTCATTTTTTATCCGATTTTTATATATATTAATAACGAGGAATTAATGAACTCATTATGTTTTTGCCATTAGAGACGCTGTGACGCAAATCGCCAATCGCCCCTAAAAAAGACTTCCGAATGAATTCGAAACAATTATCGGAAACGACAATATATATATATATATATATATATATACATATATATATATATATATATATGTATTGCAGGTGTTCATAGGCTATAATAACCGGTCACCAGAAGGTTAGCCGTATGTTTGTTTATCACCTTAGTGGTATAGAAAAAATATCTAATGAGTATTAACATTTGCAAATAAACTCTATCAGACTTTTTTATTCGAAATATAAACAATGAATAAGTTCTACGCAAAATGTACTTAAGCTTAATAATTATTACGAAACAGAGTAGCTTAATATCCCTAGAGGAAACAATCTGCAGGAATTGACAAAAATAATAAATTGGCAAGCTCAAACAACGATATTATAAAGCACTTGTATATAATACTATTAAGGGGGGGGGGGGGGGGAAGGGGATTGTTAGTAATGCGGATTACCACGCCCATTGCGAACAATATACCCTTACAGGTCGACATCCCCGTGGTCCCCCCTGGAAAACATTGGAAACCACGATGAGCTAACCTGCCTTTTCATTCTCACTTATCATCCCTCATTGGTGTCCCGCTAACGTATACCGTAAGTGCAGGGTTACCATTCCATTATCATCCACAAAAAAAAAACTATTAAGAATAGAACCGACAACACAATATTTTAGTACAAAAGAGTTTAAAATATTAGTCTGGATAATTTAAAATCATTAAACATGGCCGATATTTTAACAAATATCTGTGTATCAAAATTTATTTACTAATATTACAAATGTCACATGACCAAATATGTGTAAAATAAACATAATTAATTGATTATTTTTATTTGAATAAAAAACAATTTTATTAATTTCCGTGTTTTCTATTAATTTACTACAATTTTACTATATTATAAGAGCAGTTTAGACAACAAACTTAGTGAAGTAAATCATTTAGGTCCTACTTTATACAAACAAATATTACGTAACTAGGTAATTTAATTAAAAATAATTGTTATTTTTTAATAAAAATAACAACTTGTTTTTTTTTGTTACATTTTATAAGATTTTCCTCAATACAAAAAGCGACATTATTTAAAAGGTATAAAGAATAACATTTTATAGCACTCGTGTGTTACTATCGGATCGTCTGTTCTCATTTAGAGACAAAACACGTGTCGTATCGTGAGTTCACGTATACTTTATAATGTACGATAATGAAATGATAACCCCGCCTGCGCTATCGGTATACACTGGCACAATGATTTCCAGAGGTTTTTTTTTTTTTATACAACTTAGAATGGCAAACAAGCTAATGGAAAGTGGTAACCGTTGCCAATAGATATGAGCAGTACCATGGACATAACAGGGTATACTGCTTCACCCATGATACCCCCATGCGTTGCCATTCCTGAGGACTCAGGTGTTATTCCTCTGTACCCTGTAAATTCACGCCATATCCCACCCTTCAAACCGAAACACAGCCATGCAAACACAACTGCTTCACGGTTGAAACACGAATGGGACAGAGGTACTCAAGCAAACGACAAGGATACTGGGCGGTGGACAACCTGACAGGGTATATTGCTAGCAATAGGGCTATGAACCCACATTACTAACAGTCATTTCCCTCCATTATCCTTAGGTCTTTCAAGCTTAGGACTGGTATCGATTATTGAACTACTGAGATTACCTTAACGACTTCGTTGATGCTGTGAAGAGCAGGACTCGCGCCCAGTCCGGTGCCCACCTCAACCAGTACCTCCTCGGGCCGCACTCTCCACGCCATATTGTTCAGCTCTGCATCGATGCGTGCCTGCCTTTGGTAACGGTCTTATTAGTAAACGCTTAATGGATATTCCAATATTATTAAAATATGGAAATCATGTTCTGATAATTATTGTGTGATGTGATTTCGAAGCGAACGGAATTAAAACTCGACCGATTATTTACTTTATTTTGTTTATAAACATACGTTTAGCATCTACATATGTTTAATTCCAGAATCATATTAAATATTATGTAAATATTTTTATAGAACTGGGAATGAGAAATCAGCAAAAAATCTAAGGAAAACTAATGAATATATTAAAATTAACTTAGAATCACATAATTAAATAATGCCTTTGCATTCGTGAGCAACATTTAACAATATATATACTCGTAAATACTAGGTGCTAATAATAAATTCAACATTTAACCTGAGAAAATTAGTTTATTTCAGTAAGAACTCTTAAAAATAAATTTTGTTAATACGCACAAAAAGCACAAGATATTTTGTATACATTTTGTATCCAAATAAAAAAAAAATCTAAAATAAATAATCGTATGGTACGTCTTTTTATTTAATCTGAAATAACATTTTCTTTTTATCCCATTCGACCATTAACCAAGAATTGGCACCTATTCATCATATCAGCCTTTGTCTGTTCACTGCTGAACACAAACCTCCCCTTGGGGGGTTTAGCCAATAGTTGCCATGCTTGGCATGTGGATGGATGCTGCTGTCCATCCCTCACCCTCCTTTAGTCGACTCTTACGACACCCATTGGAAAGGAAAGGGTGGCCTATTCTAAGCTAGGACCACACAGCAAAGGCACCTATTGGTTAAACGGAATTAGCTGATCTCTCAAAACACAGTATAAAGCCTACACATCTTCTATAAATAATATTTTTTAAAGCTTTAACAAACACCTATTCAATCCGCACTATGTTAGGTTTAAAGCTAGGTATAAATTTTAGATATACCTCCTACGCAATATTAAATCTGGGCGGTTTATACATATAATGTTACCTCTAAATGTAAAGATTTTAGATTAGATGTCGTTGATCTTAAAACAGAGAAGATTGGCTCCTAATATGATTAAATACGTAGATAGGATTCATCAACGCAGAGTAATTACTGGAGATAGTTTTAGAAGCAATTTCAATATAAATCCCTAACATTACAAGTTAAACAAAGAACGTACTAAATTCGGTATGTTTTTACAATGAAGTCGTAATAATTACAATACAGGTACACTCTATTACTAATTGATACTTTTTTTTGGATTGGTGAAAATGGAATGGTAGTAGCTTGTGCTAACGGGATACGCTGGCGGAGCACCAGTGAAGAGTGATAGATGAGAATGAAAACAGACCAGTTAGCCCATCATGATGAATTCATCAGGAATTAACCATGATAGTTTCCAGGGAGAACCGCGAGGAGGTCAACCTGGTCGGGTATATTGCTAGCAATGGGATTCTCAGTCTCCATCACTTACATTCCCCTTCCCCCCTACTAATTGATACTACTGTTGTACAACATAAATATTTACATAGTACCTAGTATATTTAATCTACAACAATAGTCTAATTATATGCAAATTACTTATAAAAAAAACAAAAAACTATACAAGAAACTTTTTGGTCTACTTATTGGATAGCAAACTATTACGAAAAAATATCTGCTATTCCATCAACGTATGTAAAAAAAACTTGATCTGTATACTTACTTATAGGCAACGCAAGCAGCTGTGACTGCGAACGTTAAAAATATCGCCAGCCCAATAAAACAATATATAATAACTGTCTGGGCCTCTGAGCAGCGTGAAAAAAAAAAACTTTTCATCAAGCAAACTGACTACTACAGGGGGCTTTCTAATCTAAACTTTGTCTAGGCTAGACTGTGGGGGAACTTAATTATTTGTGTTTTAATAACGAAGGAACGAAATCAAACTGAATGAGAAATTATAACAAGTTAAATGAAGAAACGCAATGTATTGGAAAAATAAAACATATTTTGGTAGTCTGTAGAAGAACTTGTAATTAATAAAGTTTGCATCGATATTCACAATAACAATAATATAATAACAATTCTATATATAATATAAAACAATAATAATAGAATATTATATAGCATAGTCTGTTATGTCCATGGTACTGCTCATGTCTATAGGCGACGGATACCACTTTCCATTAGGTGGGCCGTCAGCTTGTTTGCCATTCTAAGTTGTATAAAAAAAAAATTAAATCCATCTTTTCGTTTGTTTAAGTTAAAAATCTTTCATTCTTCTTAAAAGTACGTTGAACTTTATTTATTTTAATAAATAATTTTATTGATTATTTATTTTCTAGCGATTTATATATTTTTTTTTTATACTTCTAACCGTCAATCCATAAAAAAACTAAACTAACTAAACTGTTATATTTAAAAAGCATTATTTTCGAATACCGTATTTCGAATCCGCTGCCAACGGAATTCGTATTCGAAAATCTCCACTCGTTGTGACGACACAAACAGCATATATTTTTAACGATATACATGTGTTAGATAGCGCAAGTTAACACATGATGTGTTTTTCGACCTGGAAATTTGATTTCAGCCCCGTAACCGTCAGTAACAACGTAACCAGAGACAACAGTCGATAATTGAATTGAAATCATGAAAGCAAATTCATCTCAAACCATATCGGATTTAGTAGAAGTTGTCAATATAAGTGATAAAATGATACCGATTCATTTACTTTAAAATAGAAAGGTAAAAGACATAGAAAATAGACACTGTTTAAACTCACTGAATAAAATAAAATCACGTCGAAGCTTGAAGGGTCATACAAACGGAGTGTTAAATTAGGTCATTATTTATGAGGATAATTAGAGCCTATATGCCAATCAAAAATATTTGTAGTACTGATTAGAAACAGAGAATGCAACCAAAGTATGGAAGCAACTCTGAACAGTAGTATTTCCGAATAGATACAACGTGAAATCTTCTAGAAATGAGTATATTCCTTTCTAAATTGCCGGTAATACATCTGCAATTTCTTTAATGCTGCGAGTGCCTAAGGGCGACGGTTATCACTCACCATAAGGATAGCCGCACGCTCGTTTGCCCTAGTAGAGATAAAAGCTATGTTATACCACAAATGTCAACTGAATTAAAAGAAACTATTTGTAAATGTTTTGTCTATATCAGCATTATTCATAACACAGATAGTGTACTAAATTAAACATTCTTAAGACCTGCCACAACAATTACTGCAGAAGTGTAATGTATACGTATAATTAATGTTCCATCAAAATCTATTTAAACAATTTGATTTTTACACACTAGTAACTTTTTGTATTGTATTGTGTCAGCCGTTACTGTTTACTGCTGAACTTAGCCTGCTCTATAAGGGAGGTTTTGTCAGTAGTTGCCACGCTTAGCAGGCAGGTTGGAAACTCTTTTACTAAAAAGTAATTAAATTTTTACAAATGTAACTGGTACAATATTCTTTTACTGTACGAATGTAAACCAGTAAGAGAGTGCGCATGCATTTTATTTTAATGGTTTAATTTCAAAATGTCATACGGTCACGAAAGAGCCATAAGAACAACAACACTATAAAGTTAGTAAGTAACATTTACGATTGTCACGGCCAACATCGTGGGAATTTAATTTTTATCGCCGTTAGCAAGTTTATAATATTTATATTATGCTCTTACATATATTTAATCTATGATCGTATATTTCTATCTCATAAGACTGCAGCATTAGGTCATTTCATACAAAAACACCATAGTCACAACTACAGAAACAAGTAACGTATTCACATGTGACAATGTGTGCGTGTGTGATTAGGATTAACGCGGGAAAAAGCGTGCATTTTTTTTTTTACATCACAGGGGGCAAACGAGCATGCGGCTCACCTGATGGTAAGTGACCACCGCCGCCTTTCAATATATTGTAAGACATATATTGTATTCAATATATTGAGTAGAGTAGACTAGAGACATCTATTACAGTATGGTCGCTGACGCGTATTTCAGAAGACTCATCCTTCTATTATATGATTTATAACATTTTAATATGAAATATGATGTTCCTGACCTCGAACCATATCTACATATGGTCGACATAAATATCTTTTTCTCTTGCATTCATCTCTATTTATATTCATTCTAGTATTCAATTTCTTTCTAACCATAACGTCTGTCACATAATCCATCTATCTTATATCTTTCTCTATAATTTATTTATTAATTAAACACTTTATTAAACCTTTTATAGAATAATAAATACAGTTAATTTTAATGGGAAATGTTACAAAAGGCGGCCTTATCGCTAAACAATCTCTTACAGACAACCTTTGGGTAGAGGACATTGAGAAAAAAGACAAAGGGTAGGTAGCGCACTACTATATATCAATTAATATTAATTACAATTAATATTAATATTGGAGCGTCATAACTTACCTCCTTGGCACATGGGGTCTGTGCCCAGGAAACCACACCTGGGTGTGTCAGGCGGTGGACCCCTCCGACCACCAGGCCAGTGGATTGCCTTCCCCGCGACGGCCTTGTAGCTGCTGTTCAGACCGTGGTAAAATGCTACAACCTAAGGAAGCAGAGAGCACCTTTTTTACTAATCTTATCAGATGAAGCATATCTTTTTCTCTCCTTTTTTTTGCTTTAATTTTTTTTATGTAATGCAGATATTTGCTTTTGTAATTATTATTAGTAATTAAAGTGACAGCTGTACTCGGCTATAAATACTTGTATCAGATCTAATTTGTCTGTAAGAGATGGCTTTTAATGATAAGGCTGCCTTTTGTAAATGCACATTCTGTATAAATACTCCTTGTATACATCTCTATTGTGCGCAATAAAGAGTTTACTACTATTACTACTAATTTCGTAGAATTTTTTAATGTATTTTACATGTACTGTTAATGTGTCTTAATAAAGAAATAAATAAGTATTACGTCAGAAACTGCAATACACACTTTCACGGCTTATATTATTATAATCTCTTAGTAAATAAATCCTACTACTGTTATAAACGCGAAAGCTTGCGAAGATGGATAGATGTTTGTTACTCTTTCACGCAAAAACTACTGAACGGATTTGAATGAAATTTGGTACACAGATAGGTTATATCTAATATAAAATATTCTATATATTAGGATCGGTTAGGTACATTGTTTTGGCGCGGAAGAGGAACAAACATACATGTATCCTCACAAACTATTTATAATGAGTAATAATAGAATTAACAAGGGTAATCCGTGGAGTAAAGCTAGTTTTCAATAATTCTATCCTAGAACTCATGGAAGTTATGTAAAGTGTCGTAAGTTTCTCCATCGCTCCAATTATTTTAGTTTGTTATCGATGTTTTCCATCCAGAGAAAGTACAGATTTGAACTCACGACCTACCCCAAAGTTGGGGTAAGTACCACAAAGCCATGACACTTTCAAATAAAAAAAGAAAAGAAATTTGAGACCACTTTTATATATAATGTTTTTGAGTCAATAATTAATAATTCGAATACTATTCAATAGTCATGATATATAAATACACATAGCAGAAAGATTGCAATTTCAATAAAAAAACATATAATGGATTTACTACTGTAATCTTCTGGAGAAGACAATAAAGAGTAACCTCTGTCCCATTCGTGTTCCTACCGTGAAGCAGCTGTGTTTGCATGGCTGTGTTTTGGTTTGAAGGGTGGGATATGGCGTGAATTTACAGGGTACACAGGAATAACACCTGAGTCGTCAGGAATGGAAACGCGTGGTGGGTGTCATGGGCGAAACAGTATACTCTGTTATGTCCATGGTACTGCTCATGTCTATAACCGACGGTTACCACTTTCCATCAGGTGGACCGTCAGCTTGTTTGCCATTCTAATTTGTATAAAAAAAAAGTATCTATCTATCCATATTTCGTCATTCCACTGTCATTCTCATCCTGCCCTAGTAAGGTTATTCACCTATTCCCTTTTACCTACGTATTGTAGTGAAAATGAATACACTCGTAAATGATATTTTTGGTAAGTCGCCATAAATAGGTAGGTATTATTTCGTACGTTGTACCAGAGTCATATGAGAATGCCGTCTCGAACTTTCATATCACCAACTGAATAAGTCAAATACTGTAAATATACTCGTGGGTGTAAAGGAATAAGTATCAAAATTCTTTTTCACTCTCGCCGTAGCCCGCGCATTTGTCTGCGTGTGTTACGCCCCTCTTTCAACGTATTAATTCCCTGTCATAATAAAGTCACTATTTTTTTGCTAACTTATATGCAAATACAAATCTTAATTTTTTTATTACTAGTTTTTCTTCGCATCTTTGTTCGCATGGATTTTAAAAGTCTGTAACCACATACGTTTTATCTGTATGGCGTATCAAGATAACAGATTTTAAGTTAGACCTTCTGAGAACACAAATATGATAACTACATTCATTTTGGTACAGTATTTTTTGTGTGATGTCGGAACAAACAGTAGACAGACAAAAATTATTTCAATTATTGTTTTGATTTCTAATGCTCTTAACAAAACCCCTCATATCGTTTTTCTTAATTATAATTAAATTATATTAGTTAGATTTAGAATACTTATGGGTAGTTTCACTGTTTATTGTATTTTTTTTTATTATTATTAACATAAGGCCTTTTTTGAAATATCACCTTAAGGCGTATTTATAAAAAATAACTATAATTAAATTAAATTAATGAAACAACAGTGAGTACATACCTCAAACTTGCCAGTGACTGGATCTAAATCCAGTATGGCGTAGTCAGCATCTCTATCGCCCACTGCGTCGATGCGAACATGGCCAGTTATACCTAAATAAACAAAACTTGCAATTATAAAATATATCGGAGAGCTGTGCTGCTGCAAAACAGAACTGCTACAGCCAAAAATTGAAATAAATCTATACAAACGCTTCGCCAAAAACAGCTGTAAATTTTTTATACATCTATAAGTTCTCCCATATACTGAGTAGTAAATGCACATTATATAGTATGTGGTAACTCTATTCACACAGACTTAGTTAAAAAGTTAGATATAAATCTATTTTTAGCGAAGTATTTCTATGTAAACGCTCTATCTATGTAGATATATAATATAACGCCTTTATACATTGAAAGTAAAACTTCCTACAAACCCATTTTAACTACGGGTATTATTACATATTGTCACTTTCATTCAAACTGAAAAACTTTAGCACAAACGAAAGAGACAAATCAGTTTAATGGCTAAAATAAGTTTATAAGAAGATAACTTTTTTATTAATAAAGAAGTAAGAAGTATCATCTTCATATCAGCCTTCAATTGTCCACTGCTGAACCCCGTTGTTGCCAGCAATTGCCACGTTTAGCAGGCAGATTGACAAGCACAGTTGCCTAACTTCCAAAGCCTTTTGGAAATGTTTTAAGTGGAACGCTGCTACCCATCTCTCGCCCTCCCTTAGTCGCCACTTACGACACCCACGGGAAAGGACCTACCAATTCCTACCTATTCTATGCCGAGATTACCGGCCATAAGGTAAGACTATAAATTAGTATAATAAAATATACCTACCGTGAAAATCACGACCCCACATGCGCCTAGTGATCGTTCGTCCGTCTCTGATATCTTCGCCCACAGTCAGGGTCTCATTCAGCGCCATTCCCAATAAGTAGACGCCATCGTAGAAAGCTCCGATGAAGAAATTCACCTGTTAATTAGTTTTATAAGTTTTATGTTCAATCCTTACTAATATTAAAATGTGAAAGTGAGTTTGTGTGAAATAGACGTGTATGTGTATTTATGTTTACAAGAAATAAAGCCGAATTGAGAACAACGTTCTTTTTTAAATTGCTTTAACAAAATACCTAATCATATCAATTAATCATAGAAAATTCGAAAGACGTGCTTCTGAAAGTTTCACAAAGAGAAAGCAAGAAAAAAAACTTCCCATTTTATCCTGCAAAACAAACTTCGAAGAAAATCGACTTTTAAACTTATTAAATCGGTCTTTGACGAGATAAGGACCAAGGTGGTCCCGTAAGTAGTTCCTTACACGACTACGAAAAGTTCACACGAGTTCAATGCACAGACAGAATACTATAACGTTTAGTCACATACAAAAACTTGATAAACGCGACACTTGCTACGTGACAAGCAAAAACTATCATTTTTATATACGTAACGATGGTCGAAAGATGATGCTGCAAAGAAAAATGTAATTACATTTTCTTATTCTTATGAAATGCTTCTTCAGTTAAGTCGCCATTAACTCAAATGAAGAAATAATTCAGTTGAGTTAATGGCAATGACAACTTAATATTTTTGGACCAAAATTCATGCTCTGCACATACAGGTTACAATGGGCAAGTCAAAAGTGTTGCACAAAAAACCGACTTCAATTGTGGTAAAATCAGTTATTTTGATTTATAAATTCCAACTATTTTAATTTAAAACGAAACTCCTAAACCAATTTTCCGATTCCAAACCAACCGATCCGTAATAAAAAAAATCTAAATCAGTTTATAATTAATGAACCTCTTCCTTTTTTGAAATCGGTTAAATTTGTAAAATGAAAAGAGTTTACATATTTGGATATTTTTTTATTAAACTTACAAAGGATTCATCGAAACCCGTCTTCGGGGTTTGATACGGGCGACAAATCTGCTGACTTTAGTATTGAATAAAAAGTAATGGAAATACATAATACAATTTGGATATCTGTCTCTCGAACCGGCTTTTAATATAATTCTGTATCTGGACCCACTATATCCTATGGTAGAAAAGGTATTATGCAGGCAAAGCCGCCAATTACCTATAACTTTTATAGACTTCATGTCATACCTATTTCTTCACCGGGAAAAAATTACAAATAAAACGTGTATGTTTTCAGGATGATTGCAAACAAACTCTATTTCTTATTAATAACATTAGGTAATAAGAAAGAGGATAAATAACTGTACCACTAACATAATATAACATATATAACCTAATTAGTTACATAGTATATAATTTGATTTTCCTCAAATAGTAACACGTTATCGCTCGAGGAAAACAAAGGTCTTATTACCTGAGGCAGGTAAGTAGTATTCTTTGCACGTAAGACAATTTCACATTTGCAGGATCTCTTTTTATATATTTCAGACAGTTTTATACTACTGGTCAGTTCCGCGCAACCATAGAATAACACAACATGGCACATAACTGGCTAATTGAAATATTTCTACTCTCTAAACGAATTTTTAAAAATGTTTCATTTGTGAAAACAAGATTTTCTGCCTTTTTTTCAATTTGAAAATTTCTAGTTGTAGGTTTCTCTTTAATAAAAAATAATAATATGAATAATACTGACCTCTTCACCATCTGAGAAAGTATAGTTATAGTGTTGTCTCGCTCTTGCTCTCACAGCATCAGCAAAATCATCAAACCGATCACCAGTGGGTAACTTCAGAGACACCCTGAGCAAGGCTTCATACGCGACCCTGGCAGCGGCGTCGCGGTTGTCACCCGCTGCCCAGCCAGTCTCTCCCCAGTACCCACCCTATTTAACAATTAAAAATTATTTATCTAAACTTTTATATACGAGTATGAACATGTGTGCGTGTGACTGATTTATCACCAAAAGATGTTTTCTACCTATCAACCATAAGGCAAATAGTATATTAAGTAGACGAAGCATTTATAAGTAAAAGTTTAAAATTTATGCATATTATATTGGAGTAGAGACTACCAAATATAAATATATACTTATATACCTATATCATCATCATCATCATATCAGCCTTTAACTGTACACTACATTCCTACTAAATATATACATAGTACACATACACGTGCGCGCACGCACACACACACGCGCGTGCGTGTATACGTCCTCACACACATATGCATGCGCACGCGCACTCACGCATACACACGTTCACACACATGCACGCACACACACACACACACACGCACGCACGCACGCACATACGCACGCATTCACACAAAATATACATACTGTACACAAAAAAAATCTTTACCTGATAGTATTTAAATTACTTTTCTTCATTATTATTATTATCTGAGTGTATTTCTACAGCATCTTATTGATGTACTATTTTGACCTACATTTATTTCGTTATATTAACATTAAATCCATAACATTAGCTAACTTTGCAAATGTTGTTCTGCCCTATAAAAAATATTGAGGGTAACTTGTCAGAATAAAAAATGACAAAATTTAATTAAAATTAGTAAGCGGTTTCGGAGATTAGCGTGAACGAATATCGTGACACGAGATATTTATAAATTGAGATAGAAACGTACCTAATAAGATAATTTTTCATAATTACAAATATCTGGGTGCATAACTTAGATATATTATACGAAGTAAACGATACAAAATCTTAATAAGTCATTTAATAACATGTCCCTTGACAGTGTCGTCCCCTTGGGACAATACGAGTACATTTATTTTTCTATCTACCAAATATAAAGAATTTTCTTCTCCTTTTATGAACTCAATTATTTGCATACATTGAGGAAAACGTAACAAAAAAAGATATAATTAGTCTAGTTAATTCGCCCCGCCTTTCTAGACATATAATGACAAATGTAACAAAATTTAAATAAATTATTCAAAATGTAAGCAAATAATAGACTCGATCAGTCAGTTTGCTGTTTCAAAAGAAATAAAAATCAATCGATTGAATGTTTTGATTTGTTACTAATTTCAATTGGAAAGTATTTCTATGATAATTTTAACTAGTTGCTTTTTTTCATGTCATCATCATCATCATCATATCATCATCATATCAATCATTAAATGATCACTGTTGAACGTAAGCCTTCCCCATAAGAGGAGTTTTGCCAATAGTTGTTACACTTGATAGGCGGATTGGCAACCGTAGTTAGCTTTTGGTGATGTTTTAAGAAGGACGCTGCTGCCCATCCTTCTATCGTTAAATTCCCTTAGTCAACACTTACGATACCCACATGAACCACGGCGACAGTTTTAATAATGAATTATTTTCGATACAAATAAACTCTATCCAATACCCATAATATTGATCATGAATTGAATACGCATACATTTATACAATATTTTTAAGGTCATCGTTCTATCTAAATGTTCAGTTTCTTCGAAATAAACAACATCTAACTAAAACACGTACATATTAAAAAAAAAATTACCTAACAACACAGATCAGACAATTTCGAATGGCATTAATTCAAAAAAGTTTCCTAAATAACACGACAAAATATAACTTAAGAATTATATTTACGTGAAGCAATATACTGTGTTTTGTCGTGGGGTTAATAAAATAGGCCACCCCTTCCTTTCCCTTGGGTGTCGTAAGAGACAACTAAGGGAGAAGAGGAGGAATGGGTTCCTCTTAAAAGATTTTCAAAGCCTAACTGCTGTTGCCATTCCGCCTACCAAGCATGGCAACTACTGGCAAAATCTCTCAAAGAAGAGGCTTATGTTATGCATGAGCAATGGACAGTTAAAATTAATATATTAGTGATGATGATAAAGCAACATACGCTGCTCACCAAAAGCCACTTCACTGAAAAAGTTCTCAAAACATTAACAACGCTTTCAGAGTATATTTATTAAACTCTAATTAATTTTTAAAACAGTTATTAATTGAGTCTCAATTTCACTTGTAATATGTATCTTCCAACACAACAAAGTCGGAGATCCAAACAATAATTTTAAAGAAAACAGTGAAGCTTGAAATACAAACTTTAAAATCCTAAAATATACATATGAATAGACAAGCAGATATCAAGTTTCAAGATAGCTTAGTGGGCGGCCGTTTGAATTAATAATAGAGCTTATGAATAGTAAAGTCACTCATAGTTGCATTTCAGATTGCAAGTTCATTGAAGTATCAAGAAGGGCTTGTTAGTTAACTAATCTTGGTAATATAATAAGATTGTAACTTTACGATGTCTGCACATGGGTAATATTTAAGATTTTTTAAATTTAAACTTTTCTTTTTGCATCATATTTGTTATGATTTATATACAAACCCTATAGATACTTTCTCTTTTCGGGTTCTCAAGGTTTCTTGGAAGAAATCCCTTCAAGGGATAAGTCCGCCTGTATACATTTTTGTTATAATCTATATCTATATTATAAGTGAATGTACAAAAGAATATAAATAAATTTATCATCTGGCTGCATGTTTGCTCCGGTCCTAAGTCACGTAAAAGCTAGTGCACTAAATTGGCTGTGGATTTTACAGTTGTGTTCCTATGGATTTAACTTAAAATTTGGTATATAGTTTAGTGTGTAAAAAAGGAAGTGGCCAAAAAAGTAATCTCTAATATACAGGCTTAAACCATTAGCATCCTTTGAAGGGAGTATTCTACCAACGAAACTGAATATTCTCACTAAAGAAACACTTTTGTTTTGGTTTTATTTTATTGGTCTATACCTTCCTGTTCTTTTCTTTTTTTATTATTTTGTTGTATTTCCCTTTTCCGACTCCATGAAAATTTTACGGCGGTTTTGTAGGCTACTGTTCGTCCTGGACAAAATTACTCGCTGAATTAGTAAGAAAAACTGAACATCTAATGTCATTTCTGAATTTTATGTCCTCATATATTCCATAGCATAGTTTGATTCTTAGTTTTACCTTGTATAGATAACAAGGGAAGTTTCCTAGTAAGCTAGTAAGTCCATCCGTTTAGCGAACAAGTTAAGGTCATCGTAAACTGGCCTTGCTTTATCACGAAGCTGCAAGTTACTAGCATAGTATATCTGTATCCAAGTTTCTCAGCGAGTCATGTTTGAAAAACTACATAACAAAAATGTTAAAATATCATTCCTTTGGTCTTTTATTGTAGGATTTATGATGAATAAAATGTTAAGCTTCATTTTCTTTTATTTTCGTTTTCTATTTTCATTTCCTTTTCGGTATGAACAACACAACACAAAATTGAGTCCGAAAATTCAAAATTTCTTTTCATGGTAGACTCCCTGTAGTGAGCGGACAGCTTGTTTGTCATTATAAGTATAAAAAGAAAATGTAAAAAAAAATATAAAAAAATATGTACATAAGAGGCAATTTTTTAATAGAATGTAAATGAAATGTTAACTCCGCCTGCGCTATCCGTATCCAATGGCGGAGCATCAGTGAGGTACGATCAATGAGGATGAAGTCAAGTAAATTGGCCTATCATGATTAATTATCCAGGAATTACCCATGATGGGTTCCAAGAGGAACCACGTGGAGAACAACTTGATACTGCTAACAAATGGATAATATTAACCCCCAGTACTAACACTCTTTTGTCTTCTGTAAATGACGATTAAGAGAACAAAGACAGTATACTTACTAGTAAAAGAGAAAGTGATCTCGAAATAAAACTCGAGTCAGCCAAGAAGACAGCCTGCGTGGTCCTCTTTATATAGAGAGTTAACATGGGACGTTACTGAATTGTTATGTTTAAGCTCCCTACAAGATGGGGGAAAGGGATTGTTAGTATAAAAATTAATGAGGTATTAAAATTCCATTGCCAATAATACACTCAATCAGGTCGACCTCCACGCGATTCCCCCTGGAAACCATCGTGATTAATTCTTAATACATTGGTCACTATGAGCCAATTGATCTGCTTCATCCACACCTGTCATCCTTCATTGGTTCCCCGCCAGCCTATACAGACAGCGCAGGTAGAGTTACCATTACCATTCCATTTTCACCCATTAAAAAAAATCCTTATCAGATCAAAGAGCTAAATCAGATTTATTTTAAGAAGGCGACAAACATAAGTTGATCAAGACGGTACGTTGCAATCATATTGCATGTAAGCATTCTTTTAGACACCCTCGGCTATTCAGTATTCCATCTACCAATAATAATGTTTCACATAATAATCCCATTCATCGGATGTGTCAATCGTATAACAAAATTAATGACGGTCTCAATTTCATGTTTTTGTTTATACCAAAATCAGACCAATAAATGGAGTTTAACATTTCGTTCGTCATACATCCTATCAGAAAAGTACAAAGGAACAATATTTTAACATTTTTAATATTTCTAAACGGCATGTATTATGTAATTTTAACATCAAATTTCTGTTTCGTTTGGCTCCGAAATTTCGGAAAACATTTCATGGTAGACCCTCTGTTATTGTAACTTATAACGAATAAATAAATATATGGAATAGACCTACATCCAGCAATGGAAAACGAAAGACTAAGATTATAATGACATACCTGAAATATTTCTACGTCCAGAAATGCCCAGTCCCCCCTCGTCATGCCGAGGGTGTGCGCAGCCAGCAGGAACTCTCGTACCAGAGGCGCTCGGACGCTCAGTATCACAACTGGTAAGAAAATTTACTTATAATATTTAAACGTCATTGATCTCGTGGTTACATGGCGTGATTCAAACGGAGGGTATGAGACTAATGGCAATCAACCTTTGGGAAGAGCAGAAACACTTCAAGGCGATTTAGTATATTCTCGAGATATTTTAACTTAATGTTTTTATAATATTAACAAAAAACCAGAATTGTTATTCTGGCTTTTAACTTTTTTTAATTTTTGTGTCAATTGATTAAGTATTATAGTCTAATGAATGGTTTTGTCCAACTTATTTTCTTTTCTTTTTTATGATTTACTCAGTTATTTAATCACCTGAGTCATTTACTAAACATATAAATTATAAAAAAAAAACTGATTAAGTACATACACCCTCGAAAACATCACCTCCTACCTTTGATAGTCAGATAAAACATCCCAATTTCACATAAAATTGACTTTTTTGAATTGAATTGAATTGAATTACCTGTTTAGTTATAAAAGTTAAATAACGATAAAAAAAAGCGGCCACTTTTCTTTACCTTTCCAGGTACTTTTATAATCCGTCAACGATATCAGAATATATAATAACCTTAAACTGACTTTCCAAGTTAATCTGATCCAGGCAATTTTCACGTAAAATTTTACCCGTCCTGTTTAACTACTAATAAAATATAGAAACCGTTGGGATGATATTAAAGGGTCTTCAAATGTATGCCCTTTACGTGTCAGTAAAGGTATAATTGACTCGGGTACTGGTTATTCGTAAATAAATCATTTTAAATTTTTCCATGGCATATTATAGACCTTTTACAAATTCATCTTCTATATTATAATAATTATTATTATTATTATTATTATTATTATATTTATAATAGAAATAATAAAAAAAATTAACCACGAAAGTGGTAAACAAGCATACAACCTTTCTAATGATAAACGGTCACTGTAGCCCATGGACTACACACATGGCAACATTAGAGATGTCGTATGTATTATGATATATTTAATTAGCCAATTTTGAACCAATTAAATTTTTTTTTTTTGCAAACATTTGGATCTACAGATATGTTAGTTACATTAATTTTGTCAAAAAATAATTTTGTTGCAAAAAATATGTTAAATCATTTTTTATACCAATAAGGTGGCAAACAAGCATACGGTACACCTGATGGTAAACAGTTACCGTAGCCTATGAACGCTTGCAATACCAGAGGCATTACGCGCGTTACCGATCCTGAGGAAACCTTTTTAGCCCTTTTTTTGAAGAACCCCATGCTATAGTCTCTTGGAAAAATCTGGACAGGGAGCTCATTCCTTAACCTGAGCGTTCGTGGGACGAAATATCTCTGAAACCGCGCTATACGCGACCATCTAGGCTCTAAGGTATGAGGGTAAACTCCCTGTCGATGGCAAGCTGTAAGATGGTAGAAAGTAGCCGTGGTCATCATATTGAACAATTCCTCTGAGCACAGACCGTTGTACAAGCGGTAGAACACGCAAAGTGAGGCAATTTGTATGCAACGAATATTGTAAGCAAACATATAGAAAAATAGCTATTAGAACATAATCTTAAAAACAAAATCGTTGTTAATATTTCTTCCCAAAAAATAACTAACAAAATAATTATTTTCAAAAACAATTTAAAAGATCAAGAAAATGCCGCTCTAGGAAAACAATTCTCTTTTATCTCTTTTACGAGTATCTAAAATGTCAACAGCAAAAATGCTTTAGCCCGCCTACTTTGATAACGGTAGGTAACCTACCCTAATACTTGGAAATTAGAGGAGAGTGGGGCAATTGGAGTCTACTGAGGAATATTGTTATTAAAAGTCAAATTTGTTACAATTATTATAACTATTAGGAACATAAACTCTGTTTACATATTTGAGTATTAGATAACCACTATTTAAATCAGCAATTTTCCTTTGTTGCTCAACGCGAAGCACTTATTAGTTGGGTGTGTTAGATGCGTTTTCCCACTAGTTAACGAATACATATGTACATCATCTAACCGCCATCACTTTTATGCCATTTTTTTATATCACTAAGGTGACAAACAAGCATTCAGCCCACCTGTCAGTAATCTAACCGCCATCACATTTATTACCCAACCGCTCTCAATACCCCACTCTCCCCTATGATTTTTTTCTCACTATAAGAGTATAGTTTTATATTATCTGTGCTGCAGGTATACAGGTGAAAACATAGTGGTGGTGAAAAAATTCTTTAAGTTAGAACATTTAATACGAAATATCTATTTATTCGGAAGCTGAAGAAAAAATAAGCGTTTTCAAAAATGTTTGAAACCATTTTATAATTCAATTCTTACGTAGAAACACAAAATAATTTAGGATTTTCCCCGTTACCGTAATGTAACCAGCGAATATTTAATATGCAAATGACAGTTGCTATTCTATTTCAAGACACCATAAAACGTCCAACTTGAGTCAGTGATAATAAAATTAAGAATTAATAATCTGTTTTCTCTTACTCGGCACATTTAGTAAACAATCTTGGTGTTTTTAAATAAATTTGAGATTATAAAAAGAAAAGTACATTGCAGTACCCGTACACTGTCACATGTCTTCTATACCTACCTACCTATTATACTATAACTAATCAGTACCATGTAGCATACAAATAAATATAAATAAATAAATAAACACTATTATGGTATTAAAGTACATAAAATAAAATTATAATTATTACATAGGACATTTAAAAATATATATGAGGGTCCTTAATAATAGAGGCTTTTGTACATATAAAATAACAATTTTCTGATTATTTGTCTATGTAATATATATAGTATGTTTATTTCAATATTATAGTATGTAGTGTGCGCAGATATCGTCATAGTCGTAGAATACTGACGGATCTGACAAATATTAGATATATAGATCCGTCAGTATTCTACGACTGTGACGATATGTTCCTGTAGGCCGATCTCAAAACCGTACAACCCGCCACAAACTAAAGTTTCATCCCAATCATCTGGACGAGTGGCGGTCTTCCACCGTGCGTTTTTCAAGGCACTTTCTTCCACGCACAACCATTCTTTGGAATCAACTTCCAGCAGCAGTATTTCCGAACCGATACGACAACATAACCTTCAAGAAAAGAGTATATTCCTTTTTAAAAGGCCGGCAGCACACCTGCAATGCCGCTGGTGTTGTGGGTGATCATGGGCGGCGGTAGTCACTTACCATCAGGTGAGCCGCATGCTCGTTTGCCCCCTGTGTTGTAAAAAAAAAAAAAAAAAAAAAATGTGCTGTTTGTTTTATTTTGATACGCCATCTAAAAATAATCTATTTCCTACGTTTTCTACTTCCAAAATTCACTTGTACGATGTCGCGGACAAAAGCTTTTAGTAGTAAATATAATATAAAACCATAACAACAAATATCAACAACTATCTCTGACTATCCCAATGGGGATTTTGGTCGCGAGCATATTTATTTTGTTTAATACATTTTTATTATTTTCTAGCTCTCTTAATTCGATTTAAAAGAATCATAAAATCTTGATATGAACCAAGACTATGTACTGAACAAGCGAAATAAGAAAAAGAACAGCACAGACAACTAACTCGTTAAACCTTTCAACTGCAATAAAATATCGTATTTTATAATTGTCAGTAGATATAAAGAGCAAAACCATAAATTCAATTATACACAACCCAGTACACTGAATGACTTTGAACTTTTCCCTCGGGCTTTCTAGACTTATATGATCGTACACATCAGACATGCTCTGAGATAGATAAATACTTTTTACTGTACAGATGAATAACATAATGTTGTGTAGATAAATTAGACTTAAAATATTATTATAATTCCGTGTCCTATTGTTTAGGACACGAAATTGTATTTCTTCAAGTAGATTTTGCTACTTCCTATGCCGCTGTGTTAGATTGACTGAAAGAGATCTATTTTAGAGATAAGTTCACCTTTGCTTACCTTATTTCTAATTGTTATTATTACTGTATGTTTTAGTACAATAAAAAAATATACTATATTGCTCCGATAAAAGCAAAGAGCTATATATGTTCTTTGAAATAGTTCAATCGTAAGTGAGTGAGAAATCAAGTGTGAATAAACGCTATCTTAAAAAGAAATTCTAAAATCAGGTCGTAATCGGCAAATACATATCGTTAAATAATGACACAAAAATACAGTGGATTTGAGACATCATTTCTGAAGTCTCTAGAAATTAATATATCTATCCTGTAAACATTTGTATGTTATATGTATTAGGTAATCCTAACATTATTAAAAGAGACATGTTTGAAAACAATATCAGTGAAATTAAAAAATATTGAATCCAGATGTAGAAGTAGTGGGAGTTTTATATAATTTTTTATTAATTAAGACGTGTACAGAAATATGTTTTCTAGAGATAAGTTTATTAACCTCTGAAAAGGGTAATAAATTATGTAAAATAAGTGCATTGTTTCACTACGATTGTATACCTTGTTATTAGCAATTAAAGTACCTATTGATGTACTCGTATTTGCCTTCAATTTGCTGGAGTTTCGTCAGATGACCAGAGTAGGTATTTATATTCAGATAGTTAAAGTATAAATGTTGTTTCTATTATTGTTGTGTAGTCGTATGGTATTTTAATCTTATTAATATTATTTCTTTTAATTATAATTGTAAAGTATGTGTTATTGTAGTGATGCTTTCCTGGATGAGCGTATTAGAAGACTGTAAGGCTCACCCAGTGGATTAAATAAATAAATAATTTATATCAGTTATAAGAAGAAAGGGTCTTAATTTTTGTGTATAATTTTTTCTTCGAACATTAAGTAGGCTAAAAATAATTAATGGAACCCAAATTTACGATCTTTAATAAGTTACCAGAAAATATTTAAACGCATTATAATAACATTTTATAATTAAGTAATTATTCATTCTACTTATTATCTAATGTACATTTTAACAGAATCTATGGATTTTTTTATACAACATAAAATGGCAAACAAGCTGAGGGCTCACCTAATGGAAAGTGGTAACCGTCGCCTATAGACATGAGCAGTACTATAGACATAACAGAGTATACTGTTTTTCCTATGACACCTCTCATGCGTTGCCATTCCTGAGAACTCAGGTGTTATTCCTCTGTACCCTGTAAATTCACTGCCATATCCCACCCTTCAAACCGAAACACAGCCATGCAACCACAACTGAGGCTGCTTCACAGTTGAAACATGAATGGGACAGAGGTACCCAAGCAAACGACTTTTGTACAAAGTCTCCCTTTGGCAAAAATCATGTGATACATAAAATAATCATTTTTTACTACTATCATGTCATAACACATAGAGCTATTTGATAGATTGTATCGAGGAATGCATAGTCAGATAATAATTCAGATTCTAAAAATATAAAATTTTATATATTCGTAGAGTTCCTCTAAGATATAATAATTATAAGAAATAATTTTTGAAAAATTCCCTTCGAAACAAGAACTAAATAATTTCGCGCGGCCGAAGCTACCAGACACAACTAGTCTATACAAATAATACAAAGAGGAAACCAATTTAAAAAAAAAAATTACCTATAGGAAACTTCATTATTGACCAGGAACATAAGCTATATCTTATTTTTAATAAAATTCTATCTACCCGTGCAAAGCCGTGCCAGGTCACTAGTGTGAAATAAAGCAATATAGTTCTGTGTTATTAAATTTTCTACTTACATTCTATTATATCTTTTTATATCTAATACATAAAATTAAATAGTTTACACAATAATAAGATTTTGTTACAGAAAAAAAATCTTAATCTCAAGAAAATACAAGATAACCAATAATCAAAAATAATAAATAAAAAATTGTTGTTCTACCAATATGATAATTTGATAAACTACACTTGCATATGAGGCTCATTTTTTCTTTTTTTTTTTTTTTTGTTGTTTTCCGAACTATATTTCTTTTAAAAAAATTTTTAGTTTTACTGGTAAAGTATTTCATTAAATAAATTACATAACGATTTCATTCCACCAGTATAATAAACTTTTCGGAAATACCAGTTTCCTAATATAGTTAATTAACATTTGGCCCATAAAAACAATATCATAATCATACTGTTATTTCTATTATGTGGAGTCGGCGTATCTTATTGGACAATTTACTATCGTAATAACAAGAGTAGGCATACTAAAAACGTAAGTAATATAATAAACCAAATAAAACAGAGACACTATAAGCTCGACCCCTGTCACGTTGGATTCAATTATACCAGGGGTGGCCAACTAGTCGATCGCGACTATTAGTCCAGTCGATCGTGGCAAGGCAAAAAATATAATATTTTGCAAATCTAACACAAGATGTATAGACACAATGCTCACTCTAATATAAATAAGTAGTTGCTAAAAATAATTTTTACTTTTATATTTTCCCTCTTAATAAAATAAAAAAAATATATACTACAATACTACATAATTATGTACTGAACTATGTTGTTTCATTTGTGATTTCAAGAAGTATGTAATTGGTAAATCACACGGGGTTTCGTCAGTAAACAGTAGATTTTGGGTTTAGTCAAGTCGGTCACCCCTTTTTTTTTAACGTCTGGAAAATGCTTTATGCAGACCCACCTTGTGGGGGGTGAATGGGTACTGTGGGAATCCCCCTGTAAAGTGGGAGTGTACCCACCAAAAACCAGACGATATACCCTCGAGGTGCCATATGTCGGAGACATGGGTTCGCTTTCGCACTCACCACATCAAGTCAGCCACCCCTGCATTTATACGGTCATAACGGTGACATTCTTATAAATTAATAATACATTTGGTAATAAAAGAATGACCTGACCGTTACTTGGGTGCGCTCTCAAAATTTACAACAATATACAATTTTTACAATTTATATTCAACGAGGAAATATCTGCATTACCATCAGTCCCCAAACTAGGCCAGACCTGTATCTTGGGGACTATGAATCTGAGTAATAATAATAATAAGTTTATTTATATGTTTATTAAACTTTTATACACCTAGAAAGTGTAAATAGTGGACTTAACACCGTATGGCATTATCTACCAGTCGACCGTAAACAGAAATAATAGAAAATATAATTGACAGTGTAACGTAAAGAACAATATTAAATTAAAACAGTAATTCTAAAATAGCATATATTAGTACTCATATTATATATATATATATATATATATATATATATATATATATATATATATATATATATATATATATATATATATATATATATATATATACTCGTAACTGATAAAGGAAACTCATGTTTCCTTTATCAGTCAAACAAGATTGTTCATAAAGAAGCATCGAGTGATTGCACGAAATACTATTTCATATACTGTGATTGCTTTTTACTTCATAAAATGTATAAAAATACAAGTTTTACTTGCAATTTCGTTCGCGTAACCGAGATATATTCAGTGATAGTAAGTAAGTAAGCCTATACGCTTCTCCATGCCATATAGTACTTATATATCAAATTAAGTTAACAGATTCACTTTTAAATATATATAGTATTAGTAAGTATGATATTTGTGGGGTAATGAGTATGTTTCCTTTACTTACCTCGTGCGTACATGCTAACGTCCCGAAGTAACGCCTCGCACGACTCCCGTTCATTTCCATCCAGTTCCCTCACGGCCTTCAATATCCCCTCTTTCCGTAATCCCCACTCCAAGCTTTTACCTAAACAAATAATATAAAATTATACAGTTTTGTGAGTTATATAGTGTAGTGAGATCCGGTATATATCTTTGCACATCACATCACCCAGTTATTTTCCAGTAGCCGTAACCCACGGCTTTACCCGGATCAAATACGATAAAACTATGTAAGATAATTAATTCTATCTGTTAATCCGGGTATATTTAATTTATGTACCAAGTAAATTCAAATCTGCGTTCTCATAAGTGTGTGAATAACAAACAACCTTTCAAAAATTATAATAAGTATTATTTGGGCCTATTTTAACGATAGATCTTTTATGACATGACCAAAGAACGCTGTTGTAAACACGAATTATATAATTAGCCAAAATTTATTTATATTTTTAATGTACCTAATAACTATCGGCTCGCACTCGCATCACAGCTGCTCATGAATAAGGATCACGAATTGATCTCGAAACTAGTCGAGCTTTCTTGATCTAATTACACGTAAATTAAACAGGTACTTATTACATTAAAATATAATGTGAGCTTACGAAACATTTATCAGTAAACTGTATTTATTTTATACATTATTTTTCTCCACATCTATTACATAGCCACTTTTATGATTATTTCTTAAGAGCTAAAATATTTTCTAGTGGTTAAACACTTAATAAATAGACATGAAAGACAGTTTTCAATTGATATTGTCAACAATGAATCGTATAAATCGCTTCTGAAGCAGTGAAAATAAATAATTGTTAATAGGATTGCGAGTGACGATCTCTTAATAGATTTACTTATCAAAGATCTTCAAAAAATCAAGGGCATAGATAAGTGTATATTGGACACTTGAAAAGAATTTCAGTGCTTATCGAGTCGTTTGGAGTGGACCTAAAGTTTAGCAAATATAACTAACTAGCTGGGCGTGTGACTTCATTCGCATAATTTATCTCATGGGAACGCTTTACCGAGCTGTAACCTCCAAGTTTTAACATTTAACTCCCAAATTCTTTATTTAAATCCGTAACTAATTTTCTGGGTATTTTTATCGAATCAGTATTTATATTTTCCTGAGGGAAAAGGACCTAATAAACATTAAAAAATAAAGACGAACTCACGTTTATAATACTAATAGGATCGCTTTATTTTATTATGTTTAAAGATATCCATTTACCCCATTTTTATCATTTTAATAGCTTTTAACTGTGACATCGTCCACGTGATCAGGATAAAATACAGCCTATGTCCTTTTTCATCCTATTTCATTTCATCTTGAAAATATTAAGTAACACTTACATTATTATTATATTATTTACAGAATGTCATAATTTGTACTTTGTTATTAAATAGCACTAACATTGAATTGAATCTAATTTATTGTTATTGATTGATTTTTTAATATACTATTATTAATCGAATGAATAATTAGTGTAATATTAAGTATAATAACTTGTATCTAGCCAATAATGAGTTTGCATGCTATAGACTACAGGGCGAACATTTGTACTTCACAATAAATCAATATCTGTAAAAACAATGTTCTGGCAAATAACTCAGTCCATCTATCTATCTCTTTTGTGTAGAATATCAAGTATTATTATATTAAAGAAATAAACTCACCAACAGTAAGGGAGAACAAATCGGACTTGTCAAGTAATAAGGCAACGTGTGCCCACCCGAATCTCTCGAAGACGCTCGTGAATACGTGTGGCAGGCGGCATTGACAGTACGACATCCGAGTCAGGGTGGGGTACTTTCCTTTGTCGTTGAACAAAGTTTGCGGCTACAAAACAAGATGAACAGTTTATTACCTATGTATACTAGCGATATGCCCATGCTTCAGACGGGTTTTTTAACTACAGCCCATTGACTCGCTGATAATACAGATTTCCATAGGTGAAAGGTTTCTTAGAATCGGTTTCAGTTTTTTTTTTTTACTTATAAAAGTTTAACAAACAATGACAATATTTTTTTTTCTCTTTATAATATTATTTTAAATTACAAAGCGTTAGCAAGACGCTGATTTTTTTGTCTTCTTTTAGCCCTCGTTTCGTTGACTAAAAAGTTCAGTTTCAATGGTAGAACACTCTTTTAATAAAAAAACAAAACATATTTGAATATACCTGACTATACAGGGATTGATTCTAATAAGCCACTTATCTAAACCTAACTTTTAACGTCATATTTTAAATTGATAATTTAGAAAAATTGCATTACAAAATTTTATAGACCATTATAAACTAAATTTATAATAATTTCGAATTAAGTCTATTACTGAATATTTTGCTGTGATATTCAATTGACACTTTAAATCTAGAGATTAGTTTAAAAAATGGTGCCTCAGTAACAATTGTGGGGTCGACCCCCTATCATTAATTAGACTAAGATAATCACTAACACACACTACTCTCTAAATACACACAGAATACACTCTCTAAATTAAATTATTAATAGATTTTTTTTAATTAGATTACTATTGAAACCTAGCAGACTATTTAACTGAACCATTGATTAGAATAATTAGCGGAATTAAACAAAATAAATCTAATCAATTGACTTATTAACAGACCGTCTTATGGTCGAGTCAACGATTCGTTTATATCTATAAAATATTATTTAAAATACTTATACTTTATTCTACTGTCTTTATTTAAACATTGTTATTATTTACACATGCGACCGATCACGAAACTTTATTTTTAGTTATATATATTTAAGCATGAAGATGAATTTTCGAAACCGGAAATTAAGTATCTTTTATATATACGAGTACAGGTATATTCTTTAATTTCTATTGAAACAAACTATAACATAGGTCCTAAAAGACTTCGTAAAAGAAATGAGCTGACAGTTTCACATGCTTGCTCGAAAAATAGATACTTAATGTAAAGATCGATTCATTACTTTATAACATATTGTTGAAGTAATTATTAGTTATCGAATTTGAATACCTTGATCCCTTTGCGAAGATTCCTCAATCGATGCATTCGGCTAACAACGCTCGCTGGTGCTGCCAGTTCTCCTTCAGAAGGGGGCTGCAATAAAATTGTTTATTTGCTAATAACTTCATTACATTTGATCCAATAGATGAAAAAAAATATGAAAATCGGTTAATAATTATGTCAATATATTTAAAGGGGAAAGGGGCGTGGACAACGCCCACCCTAGAATTGTCTGGTACCCAGCCCAAAATCCGAGTAGTGCTTTCAGTTAAGCGCAAAGTCAAGTCTGAAAGTACAAATGAGCCATTTTTTAAACCCTCTCCTCTTGACAAATAAGTCTTAAATAAATAAGAAGATGTAGCATAACATACATGAACATGCACACGCACACGCACACGCACACGCACACGCACTTGCATTCATACATACACTATTTGATAACTGGGTATTCTTTTTTTAAACAACTAAAATATTTCTAAAAATATTGTATAATATGTGAATTATAAAAATAACCAAAATTTATTAAAATTATAAAAGCATTCAATAAATGAAATTAATAACAAATCGAAACATTAAATCAGTTAATCGATTTTTTCTTGTGTACTGTTGAACGTTAGCAAACTGTCTTACACTCAGGTCATATATTCAATTGTTCATATTCATTCTATTCTATTGAAACAAACCATAAAATAACTATTGTTGTTTCTAAATAAGAATATATCACGTTTAAATTAACTACTAAAACGTTATGCATAACAAATAAGTCCCTAGAGGGAAATACGAAAGTTGTGCTCCATTTTACCATTAAATTCTCTTGGGTAAACATCAACAAATCCCTGTTCCTAAAACCTATTATAAACATACCTACACAACATAACAACGAAAAAGTTCATCACAGAACCCAGAAGACTATTTACAACTAAACTTTGGCCGAAATTCCGCTATGTAGAGCCTGTGGAGCCAGGAATCTGGAATTTATGTAACACTCAACAGGGCGAATGCCAGAAGACTAAATATATTTATTCTGGGTTGCCAGATGCGATGTAAGTTTCTCTTTAAATTTGAATACAATTTTCTTTAGTTTACCAAAAAACTACATTCGATTTTGTAGTGCAAAATGTGATCAACATTACGGGTGACGCAAAATCGCACTTTCCCTCCTAACGTACATATACGCTTTATAAGTATTAAACTTATACTTTTTTAAATGGCAATACTAAAAAATAAATTAACAAAAGTTATTTGTTAACATTTGTTTTTCTTAAAAGATTTCATCAACTAATTTTTAGCCAATGTTGCGAAAAAAGACTTAATCCAGCAACGTGGCTTACTTTTTAGCTTTTCTGTAAAACCATTACAGTAAAATTAAACCAGCCGTGCTGCGGTTAATTATAAAAACTCAAATGAATCACTTCTATCCCTTTTACTATTATAATTGTCACTATTAATATTTGTAATCGAAGAACCATGGCCACGATACATTTGATGTTATCAAAACTGAACCGTCACATTGAAACTCGAACGCAATCAGTTTCAAACCGAACGCTATCAAGCCTGGCACGCAAGAGATGCTGTAAAGGAAGGGTAGACAGTCGGTTTGTCGGCTCATTGCGTTCCCATCCAATTCCATTAAAGCCCGCTCAATGCCAAGTTCACAAGCCTGTCGCGAGCTCTCTCGTTGATTTGTTTGTACCCTTGGCCAAAGTGATACGTTTGCGGCTGAGCGAGTAGTTGACAGGAATGGAACATTCCTTATCAGTGTTTGCTTTAGGTGATTTATATATAACATAATAACACAAAAGGTTTACAATAACGGAAACAGCCGACAATTGCCTCGGACTATCCACTATATATTAGTGGATATAGTCGTGTACAAAAGTCGATTGCTTGGGTACCTCTGTCCCATTCGTGTTTCTACCGTGAAGCAGTTGTGTTTGCATGGCTGTGTTTCGGTTTGAAGGGTGGGATATGGCGTGAATTTACTGGGTACAGAGGAATAACACCTGAGTCCTTAGGAATGGCAACGCATGGGGGTATCATGGGCGAAACAGTATACTCTGTTATGTCCATGGTAGTGCTCATGTCTATAGGCGACGGTTACCACTTTCCATCAGGTGGGCCGTCAGCTTGTTTGCCATTCTAAGTTGTATAAAAAAAAGCTTATTTATTTATAAGCTTTTTGCCTTGCTTGCTTTTTTGTAGTAACATTCGCGTGGATTTTAGAAGGAAAACCAATGGAATGGACCACTTCTAGATGGCATATTATCAAAATTAAAAAGATAAAACATACACGAAACAAAAAGAGACGATTTCTATAAAATAATGTTTTGACGTATATACGTCTTATAAAGATCCCTCATTATTTTTTTTAACATCGTTTAATTACAATTTTACTATATTAGTTAATTTAACTATAATTCAGCCCGTCTATGACTCGATCAAAAACGGAAGGGGTAAAGGAATCCACATATTTGCAGAAAAAAGTCCAAGCTCGAAAGATGAACAATCTAGTGACAATGGACCATATGGTCATACGGCCATATAACTCGTAATACCAGATAAAGTAAAATAGCCCTAATTTAATAACATTTAAACAATGGCTTGATTATTGAATCCACGAAAGTCCCAATTTTCTCCTAATTTTTTTTATGTTTCTTCTACGTTGTAACTACGAAACTGCGTTATGTACAATAGACAGAAAATAGAACCTATAATAAAGATTGTGTATCACAAAAAAAAACTACTTTATTCATTTCATCAATCAAATTAGTTACTATTATTTAAAAACTAAATTAATGAACTGATTTTGATAAAGTTTCTATGAGATGAATGTAAAAGTATATCCAAGATGGATCTGTTCAAATCTATAAACGACGGTTACTACTTTACATCAGATGAGCCGTCAGATCATTTGCAATTTTAAATTTCACAAAAAAAAAGAAAAAAGATATCTTTTACATAAAAAAGGAATTTTCCAAATCGGTTTACAAATGACGGAAAGATGAGGTATCAAACATAATAATAGTACAACCGAACTGAGAATCTCCTTTGAAGCAAGTTGAATGTTACAATGACGGACAAGGGATATCAAAGGTTAGCATTATATAATTTCATTTGATACTAGTAGGTAATGATGCGAAGAATGGCTGTATTATTGAAAACATTCCAAAAGGGTTGCCCTTTGATGTTATTGTAAACCATTTATATATTTAGATTGATATACAAGGAATTGGCATTTACATATTTATTTATTTATTTACACATACACTAAACAAACCTTTCATTTAAATGATATCATTAGTTAAATACAATTGCTCTTAAGAAAAATAATATAAATTATACATATTACATCAGACAAAACAACATAATAATGAATATTACACAATTATATAATAACATTACTATTTTATTTTTAATTTTGAATAAAAGAAAAACATATAAAAAACAAAATGAATGTAGCAGTATTTGTGTAAAGGACCTAACTCAGCATATGTCGCAGTTTCAAATCTAAAGCTACGACACTGATTTTCAGTAAGCCCTAAATACGTAACTATGGTATTGTAATCTCGCCAACGCAATGGGTAGGGGGGAAAGGGATTCGACAGGTCAGGTCATGTCAGGTCGACCTCCACGTGGTTCCCCCTGGATACCATCGTGACTAATTCTAGTTTAATTCGTCAGGATGGGCTAACTGACCTACTTTCATCTTCATCTGTCATCCCCTTCACTGGTGCCCCGCCAGTGTATACCAATAGCGTAGACGGGGTTACCATACCATTATCACCCATTAAAAAAAACGCAATGGGTTACTTAAAGCCTTTTTTAAAATCCCTAAATCAAAATAGTAAATTGTCATTGTCTCTATATTTTTTTTATTTATTGAAATTACTGATAAAAAAAATATAGTGCAAAAAACAGACTTAATGTTAGTAGCATTCTCTACCAGTCAACCTGGGGGTATCATGGGCGAAACAGTATACTCTGTTATGTCCATGGTACTGCTCATGTCTATAGGCGACGGTTACCACATTCCATCAGGTAAGCCACCAGCTTGTCATTCTAAGTTGCATAAAAAAAAACCTTAATATAATATCGTAGATGGGTAAGGAAGGGATTGTTAGTAATGACGTCTAACAACCCCACTACTACCAATATACCCTGTCAGGTCTATCTCTAGGTGGTTCTCTCTGGAAATCGTCGTGATTAATTCTTGAATTCGTCACGAGAGGCTAACTGATCTACTTTCACGCTGATCTATCGTCACTCACTAATGACCCACCAGCGTACACCGATACCGCAGGCAAGATTATTTTTCTATTTTACCCATCAAAAAACATCATATCGTGTAAACAAGTTCGTGTATAGGAAGGGAAATTACCAAAAAAATATATTATTAATGTTTTACTTGTTTAATTTCATTTATTTATTTTGTGATACATAAGTAGATAATAATGGATGGTAAAAGACGATAAGTTCTCTATGACTTATATCTGCTTATTTATTATTTTGTAGTGACATCATCCAATTTCTTCCATGTTCTCTAATTAATCCCGACTTTTACAAACAATTGCATTAAGATACTCTGTTAGGCGTTTAATTATTTAATTACGAAGGGTACGTAGGACTAATAGGTAATCATGTTAAGTAATTAGTTAATTATCTACTCCTTCAGCTATAAAAACCTTGACCGAGACTAGAATACCTTCCAGTATCTTAGTTTCATTATCATTATAAAACAATGTACGTGGATCGTTACATTTACATTCTTATTTTAATTATCCGATGTCTTGTATATATATATATATATATATATATATATATATATATATATATATATATATATATATATATATATATATATATATATATATATATAGTATCAAAGAAAATTTACAATAGCATAATTCGGCCTACTATTTTGTACGGATCGGAGTACTGGCCAGTAAAGGTGAAAGGAGATGGATGTGCGGAGTGACAAGAATGGACAAAATTAAGAATGATTATATCAGAGGAAGTATGAAAGTAGTGCCAGTGATATAAAAGTTAAGAAGTAACCGTTTATCCTGGTATGGGCACGTGATGCGCAGGAATGA